AATCAGGGGCAAATGCCAAACAAATTTAAGGCTAATAAACACTAAAGCTCTAAAAAGACAAAAGGAGAGAAAAATGGTCAAATACCAAAAACGAAGAATGCAGACAGGATATATCACCATGCAAGAAAAGAAAAACCACAGATAATGGCCATGTGCATGCAAACAATGTCTGAAGATGGACTCCTTTGTATTCATTACTGTGTTAAAGCCTCTTGGTTACTACACTAAAAACTTTATCCATGCTCCAATTCATGTATTGTAAGGGGAGGGTATCTAAAAAAATTTAAAAAAAGGGGTGGGGAGGAAAAAAATAAAAAACTTTAAATCTGCAAATCATAATTAAATATTGAAACAATACCCACAAAAGCAACAAGCTAGGAATCTCAACTGGAGTGCATCAGTTGGCAACTGGTAACCAAAGTCACAACAACAATGCAACTGAGGAGCAATTGAAATACCTTAAGGGTCAGTGCTTTTCCCTATTAGTTTTCCCAAAAATCCCTGAAAGACAATAAAAAGGGTTAACAGTCTGCAAAGAGGCCAAAAATAAGAAAAAACATCCGTGTACATAGACACCACGACTGATATCTAACAAGCTGTGGGTTAGTAATACACCTTACAAAGTCATGCAACAATTAGAAAACTAGAATATCCCACAAACTTGAACATAATTCATCTTGTAACATTAATCTGCAAGACGACATGAACAGGTTTACAATTTGTACTCAAATCTGCTGACAAAGACTTGCCTTTCAAATCACTTCACAAGTTTAAGCTCAAAAAATTGCTTTAATTTGTAAACTTGCTCAAATAACTTGTAAACTTGCAGGTAACTATAAAAGCAAATATACTTCCATAAATGAGGTCAACCACTTCTTCCCACATATTAAAAAATAATAAAAATGATGGCCAAACTCAAGAAAGGGTTAAAAAGCACTCACATTTCTACACACTGCACAATTCCCTCTATGCAGGAGCTGGGCTCAGTCAATTCTCCCAAGGGAAGAAACATCCCAGAAGCACCAAACAGTGGCAGACTGGTCATTGCTTTACTCGCTTAAGCAGGGCAATCCTCCCACAACTGAATACTTTTACTATTCCAGTGGTACCATTTTTTTTTTTTTTTTCCTAATTTCACTTATTTACCTATTCACTTTTTTCAGGTATGCTTGAAAAGCAATGACTCAAAAGCCATAATGACTTTCAGAGACAAATACATACACTTGTATATTTAATCACTACTGCCAAAGGATTCTTTGCCTAAGCATCTGAATTTTGCTTACCACTTTTTGTACCTGCTTTTTTATCAACAGCTCTGACAATTGTTCCTTCCCTACTGGTACGTCTGCTGGGAGACTTACTAGCTTTACGAGGGGAACCTCGCAGAGAAAACTGCACAGAGGGACATGCAGTTAGTGGGGTGGCAATAGGACAGAACTTCAAAAAATGAAGTTTAAAGTTCAGGAAAAAAGGAGGTTTTGTTTGTAAAATCAACCAAAAAGTCAAGTTGTATAAGGCCTCTCAAGTGAAAATATAACAACTACACTATGTAAATTTTAGTTGCAGAAATCTTTAACCAGGGCTCAGTTCACATTGATTTGGCCATCAATTTTACTCAGCAAACATTAAAGTTTACCTGTCTTGGTAAGTGGCCTACTTAAATCACCTAAAAAACAATCCAGCATACTATGTAAAACTTTGCTAACCTTTAGGTCATAGCATATTCTATAAAATATGCCTTCTAACTGATTGGGGGGGGGGGGGGAATCATCAACACCTGATAGGCTCAGTATACACTACTAAAACCACATTCAGATGATGACATTTACATTTTACACCAAGCATTATAATGCTGATGATGACAGCTGGGAACAATCCGCATCCCTTACCCCGCCTGCAGATCCCACGTTCAATCCCTTCTTTATGAACTCACAAGAGGGATCTTTGAATCTACATCTACAGTTTGACAGAACCTCCAAACAGTAATCAAGTACTGTTATTTTGTATTAGCTGTAAACTACTCCTTGAAGCATGGCAACTGAATGAATTGAATTACTATTCCCACAACATATGTTAATCTTAATCATCTTTCCTTTCAAAATTTTGAAAATATATGAATATAACCAATCCAAAATGCAGATATTACAATCCTACTGATTTGTAAGCAGTTTTTCAATTGCCAGTTCTCCAATTCCTTCTTTGCATCTTATTCAGGATAATTAAATAGAAAAAAAATCCTTACAACTTTAAGTAACCAACACACCATGGGCTTATCAACTTGTCATACCAGGCACATGCACTATCCACCGAGTGGCTTTGTTTTTAATTTTGTTTACACATTAGATGGCTTGAGATTTGCTTACTACCAAGAAATCAATTACTAGGATTACCTGACTCACCCCTTTTATTTCATTCTTCAATAGGTAATATCAGAGAAGTTCTAGCAATGGCTTTTTGGTGACTTCTGGAACCATCTATATGTAAAACAAAGTAGACAGTGCACATACACATGCACTCCTGGTATAAGTGGGTTTCAAGACTGTAGTCCTGATACCTGCTTCAGACATTTAATATAAGAATTATTTTATTTATCACCTTCTTTCATTTGTTTCTTGTCAATCAAGTAATTTTATCAAAACATGTACAGGAATGCAAGCCAATGTAAATAAAACTAAAGCATTCATGGAAAAAAAGGCATTTCTTAAATTTCTATTCATTAAACTATATCAAAGCTCTTATCACAGGTAATCAAAAAGCTTTGAAATATTCTCATAACAATTACAAAAATCGATATTTCAATCTATTACAAAATACTATTCAAATCATTTAGTTTTGTGTGGAAAAAATCTAACTATGCCCCACGCCCTATCAAAAATATGTAACTTATAAGATTTACAATGACCAAGAAATTTGCAAAAAACTGGTAACTGTGCTAAATATTTAAAACGCCATGGTCAATCAGAACAGGTATTTTTATTTCTAATAAATAACAGGCAAAAAAAAAAGCCCATGGTGTGAATTTTGGTTTCCCTTAATAAACATGCAAACTTAGCAGCTCCTTTATAAACCTTTCCAAAGAAAAGGAAAAAATTCGAGCTTGGAAAACCCAATTGCCTCTTGCTTACCTTTCGCTTCTTTTTAGCTTTTTTTGCTGTTGCTCCTGACTGATCCTGAGAAAGGTTAGTGTCTGTGACTGAGGCAGAGGAAGCGGACATCAGACTGGCGGTGTCGGCACGCGAGGTGTTGTCCTGGGAGCATTAGTCAGCCAAGGTAAAGGGGAGAAGCATGCTTGGTTAAGACACCCAAACCCACCTCTTGTGTGCCCAAAGTGACCTCTTTAAAACCCTCACCTACACCACCATGACCACTACTCCACCACATCAGCCATACTCCTGATAAAAATATTACAACTGCCACATATGACCAGCTAGAGAATCTTTAAAAATTCCATACAAATAGAATATACAATTTACTTCCCATACACTAGGTATTGGTTATCAGGAATATAGTTGCGGTGCCAGGGTAAAGTCACTGACACATACATTAGTAGAAGTTAATGGCATTGATTCACCATGACATGCAAGTTGATCATTGTGCAGGAAAGAGCTCAGCCACATGGAAAAAGCTACATAAAATTTTGATATGACCAGCAGCTACATCTTGTAATAAAATCAGCAACCCATTCTTATAGGCAGTCTGTAAATATACAGCAATATAAAAGCCTAGGCAACATTCGCAAGATCTAAAGCCCTGCTAGTTATGTGAATAAATAGCACTGCTTGCTGAAGAAAGGCAATGAACTATCAATTCATAAGGACTAAGTAATTCACAGTTCACAGCCTGCAGGAGATTAGCAAGCAAGGTAGTACAGTACTAAGTTTCCCCTTTGGTACTATATAATTGTGAACATGTGGAATGTGCACTATTGCACTATAAAAGTGCATATTTTTACTGCCCTATGATATTTAATATAAGCAACATTCTACTGAATCAATCCCTGTCAATTAATAACAATAGTATATATATGTAAGTAGGCTCAATGAATGCAGATTGATGTGCAAGTGTACATCCTCCCTTTCTAAACTGCTGTTTTTAAAAAAAAAAAAAACAGTAAGAATATGACATAGCATTTCAGCAAACAAATGATCAGTTTATTGGTATTAACACCAATGTGAGCGCGACTGACAGGGTGTGAGATGGTGTTAGTATGAATGTTGTAGACAAAGAATACCTTTGATTTAAAATGTTTAAAAAACTCAAAATTTGTGACACTTCATATTAGGCAAGATCCTATCAGGTATGCAACAAAACTGTTCAGACACCTATAAATTTTATAACTAAAAATAAAACTCCTAACCCTATTTAAAGCCTGTTACTATTTTTTTTTCTTTACAATCCCTCTCACATGAGTTATGATCATTATGTAATCCTCAATATCATACTGAGAGCTGATTGATGTCATGTGTGCAGCAGACATTAGTGCATACACCATATTCCTTCGTTCAGTTCCAAACAGATGTTTACGAACTAAATATTTGCAAAGGATCACACTCACTCAATTCATTCTAAAGTGTACTATAGATACTGACAATGTTCCAAGCTGCTTCCTATGTGCTCTACCCACCCAAGCCCTAGCAACTCCCTGCATACTCACCCTCTCCCAGATATCCAACTTTTCTCTAGGTGTCACAAAAACAATGTCCCATGTACTCACCTCTTGACACTGTTCCTCACTGGCTGGTCCATTCATACTTGCATTCTATTGAGGAAAGAAAAAAAAGTGTATTAATTGTTTGCAGACTTCACATATTATATGCTAAAGATAACAACTTCAATTTTTTTTTTTTTTTTTTTTTTTGGGGGGGGGGGGGGGGGGGGAAACACACACACAAACACACACACAAACACACACACAAACACACACACAAACACACACACACACTTATGCGCACACAGAAGATAAATGAACAAGGAGGGTTTAATCCCAACTACAGCTTCATCTAACCTTTGCCACTTTATTTTATCCTTTGCCACTTTATTCAGACTACCATCACTAAACAGGGTCATCTAATGTGACAATAGCAAGCAGTTATAAGAGACAGTCAAAGAAAGCTATAAATGTTATTCAAACATTCCATTAATCCATCTTTTTTTCCTTTCTTTTTAAACTAAGAAATTAAGTTGTCAGAATTTCAGAAACATTCAAATATTTGAATTAACTGCTGTGAATAGAAAATTACAAATATGTTCTCTACATATCTTGATCCTCTCTAATTTCTTGTGGATGGGACTGGAGATCATTCAACACCCGCAAACCAGATTTTTTTTTTTCTCTCTTTGCCTAAATTAAAAACTTTTACCCTGGATACATAAACATTATGTATTTGTAGGATATTACGTTGATCTCCTGTTGATTTTTTTATAAATTCCTCACCAATATCATAAAATCTAAATTAAAATAGGTTTAGATGCATTACGACAATTTTATATATATATTTATGAAATCCATCGATATAGAAATTAAACATAAAACATTACCTATATACTTCATACAAACTGAGTACACAATGCATTCCACCCAACATGTAATGTACATTTTGTACATTACATGTGACCACAGGTTAAATCCAAATGTGACTAGGTGTCAATATGAAAGCAGTGATAACCCAGTATCTGCACAAATCATAATGCCTTCTAAGATAGTAGGGGGAGGTGGTTTGAAAAATAAAATGGGTTATAGATCAAGGGGAAAATTTCTAAGTTGAATAAAAAAAAGGTTAGTATTGTATACATTTTTTTTTTCTTTTCAGCTCCCTTCCAATTACTCATTACTTTCCTAATGACACCAAGCTGCATTCCAAATCTGTTTCCATTCATACACACACATTCAATACAAATGTGCATATATGTACAGCTACGTAGAAAAATATTAGAAAATCATGCTAAATATTCTAAGCAATGATACTTTTTAAAATGAAGTTAATGCTATGAAAGTGTTAGTATCCCTGATTTTCTAACTGCTTTTAAGTAAGTGTGACTTATCCAAATATTGCAAGGCATATTCCATCCCTTACTGGAATAAAATCAATAACTCAGTGAATCCGTATGAATTCCAGAACGACTATTCGAGGCATGAATTGGAACAAGGCAAATTTGAAACCCAAAATACCAATCCTTCCATAATGGAAGGTTCTGTTCAATACTGAAGGTTTTGTCACCCCCCCTTTTCTGTGTAGCTGTACATAAGATATTAGCATACAGAAAATACTGCAGCACTCCATGTGGTTATCCTTGATCCATTTGAAAAAAAAAAAAAGTGGGGAGACAGAACAGGAAAGACTAGAATTAGGAATGATGGGAGAAACTGCAAAGATTAGTAAAAGGGAGAGGAGAGAGAGGTTTAGGAAAGGAAATGCACAGCTGCTTCAGCTCAGCAATCAGATTCAGAAACACTTGTCAAAACCTACAATTTTCTGACTATGGTTGGACTGGCCAAACAATACAATCAAATTCACATTTCTGAGCTCCTGGGTACTTCTACATTAAAAAAAACATCAAATATACATTGAAATCCAAACCTTTATCTGTAGATCCCATCTTATCACATTAAGATTACTATAGTCTGAATCACGATGTATTGGCAACATCAGTCTACAAGTGGCTTTCCCAATATAAATCTAATCACACGTCTTTCCTCTAATTCTGAATAAAGTTACAGCAATACCATCATATTACTTATAACAAGAAGTTAATGGTATTAAAATCATAGATATGACAGACAAAATATTACATATTATGAAAAAAAAAAACAGCTTTATAATATGACTGCTTTATATGCAGTGTTTAATGCCTAAGCTTTGTATTTAATAGCCAAGATAAGTAAGGATAAAAAATTTACATCACACCACCTTAAATTAGGATATACTGACAGGCAAAAATGGCATGAAACTATAGTAAACAGCAAATCAGGAGTCACAAAGCAAAAATAAGACCCACACATGCACACACCACTGCACCTCAACTTCCACATACATATAAATCATTCTATCCACTAGGTGATCATGTTTTGCTTTTTGCTTCACATGTTTGCATTAGATGGATGCAAAAATTATTGGCCTGATAACAGCAAAGCAAAATGCATTTCAAAATCTCCCAACTTCTAACTTGAAATATGCCATACTTAACCCCTTGAATCTGGGTGATGTGAACAATACCTCAAAGGGGGAGGGAAGGATCGAAAGCCAGTGCACTGAACATGCTATCATGGATAAACTTGGCTGAGGGCCAGGGGTGACAGGACTGACTTGCTATGAGGTCAAAGCTTTTGGATGGTGATTAGACTGTAGGCATTTAGGAAGGGGCTTTACATTATTCCTATTGGTAAACATCTGAGCCATGACAGGCTCCAGGGAGGACACTTTCTCCATACTCAGAATCCTATTCCTGCCATGCCCAATGGTGAAGGGCGTAATACAAAAAATTACACAAATAACATTGTGG